CCCGCCCTCGCAGCGCCATACCGCGTCCGTCGTCGTCATACCTTCGTCCATCCGCTCCATGACCGGCCATTGGCTTTGCCGTAGTGACTTTGCGACTTTATGAGGTGCCGCGCTCCCGCTGCTCACGAGGCGGCTACTGCGTGTTGTGTTGTGCCTCTCATGACTGGCAGCCCTTTCTTGAAAGCCTTTTTCCTTTGTTAAACCTTGAGAAGCTACTCCAACTGCCATTTTATTTTATCTACCTTTTACTTTTTTGGGGCAGGTGTAGTCAGCCAAGCCCAAACAACGTCCATCATCTTGACTTCAAGTACTTACTTACCTCGGGGCCTGTATTCCCTCACCTCAGCCTGCTTCTCCTCCTCAACTCTTCTAGCCTCGTCCGTCTTCTTTGTTACACTCTACTCCGGGTTGAGCAAGGGAACATTGCCAATCCAAGTCTAGAACCTTACTTGCCTGCCTCTTACCCCCCGCGACGAAACGAATGGTCGTTCTAGGCCCGAGGTGACGTCTTTGTTATCTCTCCGAAGTCACCTCACACCTCACCTCACCTCATCCATTTGTGTCCCGCCTCCTGCTCCTCCAACCTCCCCTCCTCCTTCTCCTCTTCTTCTATTATATCCTTCTTCTCCTCACCCTCACGGCGAATCCGCCATTCCAACCGCATCCGCTTCAACATGCGTCCTCCACGAGTTTTCGTTCTTATACTATTCATCGCCGTATCTCTCTTACTCTTCTGCCGCGCTATATCCTCGTCGCTGCGATCCGCCTACGCCGATTACCCCGCCGGCGGATTCTCGTCCAAGGCAGCCCAATCCTCCCAATCTCGCCATGAGACGACAAAGTCGACAAAGTCTGTTTGGGGCTCCATGTACTACAACACGCCCTTTTCGTTATTTCCTCCAAACGCCGCTATCAGTTTGACCGACGATAATAGCACGTCCTTTGCCGCCCGCCCAGCCGCCTTTGGCCCCAAGCTCGCCATCCGCGGTCTAAGTGGTCAATTATGGATCGGTAGCGGTTTCGCTGAGGATCCTCTACTCGACGGCACTGGTGAGCTGGGCTGCGGCGACTTGCCCGGCTGGAATAAGGACGCCGAGGCCGTGGGTTTGAACAGGGCTCTCCGAGCTGCAGTCCCCTCAGTTGCCGCCCCCAGGTCAGATGCTTCTACGCACTCTAAGCGAGGCGACCAAGTCTTTACTCGAAACGAGCGCAACCGCATCACCAGCCCTAGCGAGTTCACAAACGGCCACCGCGGTCAGTCGCGGAACCAAGATGCTTCCGATATCAAGGGCAAGGTTGTGCTTTTGATGCGCGGCGGCTGTGGCTTTCTCGACAAGGTCATGTGGGCACAGCGAAGAGGTGCCATTGCCGTCATTGTAGGCGATAACCAGAAAGGCGGCCCTCTGATCCAGATGTTTGCACACGGCCCCGAAGTCGATAATGTCACTATTCCCTCCGTTTTCACCGCCCGAACCACGGCGCAGCTGCTGTCTGCGCTGACCCAGCCGGGTAGCTTCATCGAAGACACTCTCGACAACCAGGGAAATCCTGTTCTTAGGGTTCAGCAGGGTCCCAGGCCAAGGAAGCACAAGACGCAGAGACCCAGATCGAGTGTTACCGCTTCGACCCGGGAGAGACGGTCTCTGGTCAGCTCACAAGTCAGCAGCCGCTTCAACCAATTTATTACCAGGCGGCAACAGGCTCCCTCCAACTTTGCCCGGGATTCAGATGAAACCACTCAGGCAATCCGAAATACCCTTCGAAGGAGAGCGGTCAAGGACACCCGAAGCCCTCTTCTACCCGAAGATGATTACGATGGGTGGAAGCCAACAGACGAATCCGAGACACTGGATCCCGCCTCGGTCAGAAAGACTTCCGTTACGCGCCACGGCTCAGGATCCTCGGATTCCACAGCCGATGCTGAGCTCTTGAAATTTTTCAGTGAGACCGAAGAGGAGGACGAGCCTGATTCACCAATCGACAGACCCGACGATAGACTAGAACGCCCCGACGAGGTACACGAAGGACTCTGGGTAACCATCACTCCTACAAGCAACGCCAGCCCCTTTTTCGACACGCTCCTCGTGCTTGTCATCAGCCCCTTGGTAACTCTGACTGTCGTCTACGCTCTCCTTATCCTCCGCGCCAGGATCCGCCGAAGGAGATGGAGGGCCCCCAAGTCGGTCGTCGAGCGTCTCCCCGTTCGCACCTATCACACGGTTGCCACATCCCCAAGTCTCTCGCCAAGAGCGCCTTCTCCCTCAAGCGCATCTCCCACCACTCCTCTGCTTCAGACTCCTCTGCTTCAGGAGACCCCTACACGCCCCCGGCCCAGGTCGAGAACTACCACTGGTGTTCCTGAGGATGAGTCGCGAGTTGCAGCAAGCGAGTCTATCCCGACCCCTTCGACAAGCACAAGGAACAACCGTCGTAATGAGCGTGAAAAGGGCTCCAGCGGATTCTCTGCCGAATGGAAGAAGTATATGGGACGCCAAGTCGAGTGTGTAGTCTGTCTGGAGGAGTATGTCGATGGCGAGAGCCAAGTCATGAGCCTGCCATGCGGTCACGAGTTCCACGTCGAGTGCATGTGAGTTCCCCCTAGTCCTGTCTATTATGAATTCTTTTGCTAATTCGTCTCTAGTACCCCTTGGTTGACTACCCGCCGACGGACATGCCCCATTTGCAAGGGCGATGTTGTTCGATCCCTCGCTCACGGCTCGTCATCGGAACCACATTATGAGCCGTATCGCGATGATGACAGTGATGACGAGGAAACTATTGCGGAGGGCTCTGGATCTCGCTCTGACGACCGTGAAGCGGACCTCGAACAGGGCCTGCTTTCGTCAGAACCCCGATCCTCACGATGGAGCCGACAAGACGGTTGGCTCAGCTTGTTCTCGAGCGGTGCGGGCAGGGCAAGGTCTCCATCTCCTGAGGATCGTAACCGATAAACTGGTTCACACCCACTGCCCCTTTCGAGGCGGCAAGCCATCATGTGTGGCGTTTGGATTTACACATTTCTGGAGTTTGGTTATTGGCGTGACGGGTCATGGCGCACTGGGTCAGCGCGCAGCATCATGGACGGGTAATTGGACTTAGACGACCCCATACGGAAGGACTTTTCTTGGGTTTATGAATAGCACTGTTTTGTACCGAGTCTGTGGCCGGAGGCAATGAATGGGTTGCGCAGAAAGTGCCAAGGCACTTGCGCTTGGATAGCATAGATATACCCTCATCGTCGACCGTGGTACGATGTTGCGATCGATCTTGAATAATTGAGCATGTTTGAACTTGACATAAGCCAGAGTGAATAATTGCTGTCTTTGTTGAGCCTTAAACTCCAAGTTTGATTTTATTTTATCCAAAACTCTACCGTAATCAACTTTTAAACAAACATGAAGACATCTAGATATAGCCCTTGAGGATGGCGGCCTCGGCATTCAATATCGACGAACCAGCAGCACCAATGACAGCTATAAGAGTTAGCAATTGAGAACGTCAGAAACATGTGGTGGCAGAACTTACTGTTGTGGCTCAGGGCAGTAAACTTAATGTCAAAGATACCAGCCTCATCCTGACGCACACGGCCAACGCTGACAGTGTAGCCACGGCCGAGGTCACGGTCGAGACGGGGCTGAGGCCGGTCAGGCTGGTCATCGCCAAAGACCTTGATGGCGGGCTCGGGGGCCGAGGGGCAGCCCAGGGTCTGGGCTTCGCTCTTGTAGTTGCGGAGGGCCTCACGGACCTCTTCGGCAGAGGGGGCGGGCTTGCGCTCGAAGCTCAAGCTCACGCAGGCCGTGTGGCCGTCCATGACGGGAACGCGGTTGCAGGTGGCAGAGACACGGAGGCCGTCCTGCTCGACAAAGGCGGTGCCGGACTCGTCGAGGCGGCCCAGAATCTTGCGGGCTTCGGTCTCGAGCTTATCTTCCTCGCCCGAGATGAAGGGCACGACGTTGTCGATGATGTCCATGCTAGACACACCGGGGTAGCCAGCACCAGAGACGGCCTGCATGGTGACGATGGAGACGGTGGAGATGGGGCCGAAGGCGGCCTGGAGGGCAGCAAAGGGGATGACGAGGCCGATGACGGCGCAGTTGGAGTTGCAGACGAGGAAGCCCTTGTTGAGCTTGCGGACGGAACGCTGGTGAGGGATGAGGTCGAGATGAGGTAGGTTGACGGTGGGAACGACGAGAGGGACGAGGGGATCGCGGCGGTAGTTCTTTGCGTTAGAGAAGACGGGGATATCGGCCTGGATGAACTCGAGCTCTAAGGGAGTCACAGTTAGCGATTGCTTCTGGCGAGCTACAGAAAGGACATACCAATGTCGCCGGCGACGTCAGAGTCAAGACCGCTGAATACAACGTCACAGTCCTTGAATTGATCCGCCTTGCACTCCCTCACCACCATCTCGGCGACGTCGCCCATGGGGGCGGCCTGCTTCCACCGCACGGCATCCTTGTACTTCTTGCCCGCGGATCGGGACGAGGCGCCGATGGCGTGGAGGGTGAGGTTAGGGTGCTGGGCGAGAAGGAGGATGAAGCGCTGACCGACGGAGCCAGTGGCACCGAGAACACCTGAGGTTGAGTTAGTCTTGGTTGGAGGTTGAGGGCATCATGCGAGATGGATATGGCAGATGGAGGGTTAAATGTGGAAGAGTAGGAGGACGTACCGCACTTCTTGGTAGGGAATTCAGGAGCCATGATTAAGAAAATGTCTCTGGATGTTCAATTGAAGACGTAGAAGATGCTCAACAAGCGAATCGGGAGATGGTCAAAGATGTAGGCGTTAAATTTTAGCCGTCGAGTCGAGTGAGTCTTGTCTTCGGAGGTCAGACCCCGCCAAAGGAAAACCTCCCCGCCATCGGAGTCGGGTCGGCGACGGAGTGCCCCACTGTGAGTCTGGAATTTATTATGGGCCGGGACCCCCCGTCTAATTATAGGCCTCGAATTTGCAACTGTGGATGAAAGACTTCAATTCAAAGTGGTATGACATCAGATGTTCCAATGCAATCTTATCGAATATCTCTAACCAAATGAGTAAGAAAAAATTACATGATGCCAATGTAGTAGCATGATCTAAGCAAGATACTATATGCTAGTCTACTTGAGGATGAATCATGAACTGATTATACAGCCCAGTCATCCATAACTCCCCTTGTAGGTTGTTGTACCAATAACCAAACGCCAATCCAATGCACATTAGACCATCCGCCCTCTTCGCTACCTATTCACCGCTGTTCGTAGTTTGCCACATTTACGCCGCAATGGCGCTACTTCGGTCGCCGTTGGAGTAGATCCGGAACTGGATAAAGATGATGAGGTCTTCGGCAATTGTGCCCAGGGAGCCGAGCAGCCAGGGGAGCGCATTGAGGAGGTAGCCCTTGTCTTGAGAGTAGGCGACGAGGCTGATGCCGTAGGTGAGGTTTCCGCTCAGAGAGAGCATGAAAAAGAGAAGAGCAAGGCCTGTCCATGTTAATCTCGCTGAGTCCTATGCTTTGGAATGCGAAAATCTCACCTTCGCATGACTTTTCCCGATAATTCTTGATAATCTGGGGAATTCGAGCACTGCCAACTTGTTAGCAAAAGTACCAGATCTCATTGCGAGATAAGCGTACCAGAGATAGAGAGCGGCACTGAAGTATCCAAGCGTGAGTCCAGCAATCTCGATACCGGTCTTGGCGTGGTCAGGCGAGTCGGGAGTGCCGGGTTCGGCACCGCCCCAAGCACCGACCTTGTACGAGACAAACCAGCCAGCAAATCCAATTGCATACACAGCCAGCAGACTCAGAGCATTGTGAACCCAGGGGCTGCTGTCGGGAGTCTCATCCTCGCCCGTGACAATCTTCCTCAAGGGCTCCATCGACGACTCGGTGTGCGTCGCATGGCGGCGCTGGGACCCCGGGAGGCCGAAAGAAGAGCTTCGTCGCCGTCGCTGGTTGCCAATGAGGGGCGACTCTTCAGAGGGGTCCTCGTTCTCGGCACGGCGAGCTCGACGGGCGTTGAGGGCGTTGTAGTAGAGAACCTGGCTGATGAGGACGAGGTCGGCAATGCAAAAGTAGCCGGCCAATGCAACGGCCGTGGGAGCTAGGCGGGTGAACAAGGCACCTGTCGAGTAGAGGTTAGTGAGTTGACAGCGGTCGTTGGCGCAAGCCACCAAAGTGAATTTTTTTTTTCAAGGTTTCCAAAGAGCGATAACCAATTCAAGACGTGAGGAATGGGCATTGTTTCGTTGAGTAACAAATTGGCTGGATCGGAAATTTATGCGCTGGGGGAGTACGAACCGACGAGATTGGTGACATCGCCCAGAAGCCAGACGACGAGAAACGCCATGCTGAGGCCATCGGCGCTCTTGGCCTTGTAGTTGGTGAACAGCTGAGGGAGCTGAGAAGAGTGTCAGTGTAGCCCAGGCGCAATGCGACGGGAACGCAAGAGGGGAGGGACGTACGAGAAGGCATATCCAAGAGGTTAAGCTGATGCTGCCAAAAATGCCAGACACGGCTTCTGTGATGGGTATCGACCGCGCCGCGGCGGCAAACGTAGTTGTGGCCAGGAGTGGCATTGCGAAGTCGTCTTAAGGAAGCAAGTTTGGGGAAGCTCAAAGAAAGAGAGGTGAATAGAGAGAGAGGGGGAGGGAAAGCAAAGTAGAAGAGGAGAAACAGAAGGAAGGGTGTGTGGTGCGACAAAGGTGGGTATCACGAGGGCAGTCAAGAGAGAGATGGATGGAGTTGATCTTCTGCCGTGACCCAACGGACGACGGAGGCCGAGCGACGCGACGATGCGAAGTTGAGGGGTCAACACGAATCGTTTTCACAGGGTTTTTGGGATTCTGTCAAGCTTATGAGTCGGTTAGAGATTAGATACAAGAAGCAGAGAATTGCCCGGTCAGAGTCATGTCTGGAGTGAAAGCCCGTTGTCGGCTCCTCAACATGGGCCTTATCGCGCTGTCAATTCCTTGTTGCCAACTGAACCGCCTGCATTGGTCCAAGGCTTATCGGCGGATGCTCCGCTGTGACGCACTTGGGGCAGATCTTGTGAGCTAAAAAATGGGGAACATGTTGGGAGCCAGACAAAAAGAGAGGGGGCAGGCAGTATGAAAAAAAAACACCGCCGCTCTCCCCATACAATTTTGGTGCCAGTACCGGCGGTGTTTTTTTCAGACCACCTGGGGGGGGGGGGGCATCCTTGATCTGGAGCGCATTCCTCGGAGTTGCCTTGAGGCGCCGCATGTCACTGTTGGAAAGTATGCAGGGTTTCTTCAGTGTCATTCTAAGGGTCTTGAGATGTGGAAGAGATGATGCTGTGTTGCTCTGGTTGGACAGTTGCTTACAATAACAATAAACTCAGCTCTCCATCTGCAGAGGTACATGCATGCAAGCCTTTACTCTCCCCAAGCTATCGAAGCCTCGTGGTCCCTCTTCCAGCCATGACCTTGTCCACCCCCGTTTCGCGTGGCGCCGCACATGTCCTCATGATTCGCCATGTCTCGTCTCCCCGTCCCGCCTCCAGTTCACGAACCCCTGTTCCTCTAGCAACTGGCCGCAGCTTGTCCAGCCGGCAGCCTGCCTCCACAGCCAACCGGAAGCTGTCGCCCCGCGGGAAGCTATCGATTCCATGATCCAGCTTAGCCAGCCAGCTCATAGCTCGCGGCTGCATCGCCATTCAGAGGCGTAGAATTGAATCTAGACTTTGCCTCTCTCTGCCTGTTGTTCTGCAGGGTTTCAATAAAGCTTGCATCTGCCTCGTCTCTGCATCTCAGCTTTATCCTCTTCTCATCCGCGACCGGCAGTGTATATAAGCTGCATTCCCACGTCAGCGCCTCCACTGTTTGAGCTCCATATCTGATCCATATCATCCATCTCGCATTCCACCCATCATGAAGCTTCCCTCTGGCAGCGCGCTGGCCCTCTGCCTCGCCAACCTGCCTGCGACCATCGCATGGGGCAGTGCGTACAGAACGGTTCAAGCTGTGCAACCTGTCGTGCTAACATTGACGCAACAGGTCTTGGCCACATCACCACCGCTTACCTTGCCAGCCACTTCGTCTCCAACGCGACAGAAGCTCATCTCAAGGAGCTCCTCTACAATGAAGGCCCTGACTACATCGCCAAGATAGCCAGCTGGGCCGACTCGATCCGCTACACCGACTGGGGCCGATACACAAAGACGTTCCACTTCATCGACGCCCACGATAGCCCGCCCGAGCAGTGCAACGTCGACTTTGAGCGCGATTGCAAGGACGATGGCTGCGTTATTACTGCTCTGGCAAACTACACAAAGCAGTCGCTCGAGCCCAGTCTACCATTCTGGCAGCGCAACCAGGCGGCCAAGTTCGTCGTGCACTTTGTCGGTGATCTCCATCAGCCTCTGCATAACGAGAACGTCGAGAAGGGCGGCAATGGTCTCTATGTCAAGTTTGACGGTCGCCACTTTAACCTCCACCACGTCTGGGATAGCTCCATTGCAGAGAAGCTGCTGGGCGGTCTGCACGGCAACCCCTTTGTGCTTGCCGAAAACTGGGCTAGACAGCTCGCCGTAGAGATTACTGATGGACGTTTTGCCGAGGAGAAGGAGACTTGGTTAAAGGACCTCAACTTTGATGACCCCGTCAGCACTGCCCTCGCTTGGTCGCGAGAGGCTAATGCTCTCGTCTGCACTCACGGTAAGTTTGTGCCGGGTGGGATTAAGATTCAGTTATTGACCAGGAATCGCAGTTCTGCCTGAAGGTGCCGCTGCTATCATCGGCCAGGAGCTCGGAGGCGAGTACTTTGAGAAGGCTGCCCCGGTCATCGAGAGGCAGGTGGCTCTGGCCGGTTACCGGATGGCGGCTTGGCTGGATCGCATCGTTGAAACGTACAATGACGTTGAGGCGGAGCAGTCTGCCGGTGAGCTATAATGTGTTTATGAAGATACAAATAATCAGTGACGCTCCAACGGGGGAATGAAGAGAAGGAAGTATGGTAGAGCTATTTGAATGACCATTTAGTCTGGATTATGTCTAAATTCTAGATCATGTCCAAACTCTGGATTGTGTCTTGGTGCTTGGCAACAACAACAACAACAAGTGTTCAACACTCATCCCAATCTGGATGCCAAGGCCTCAACGTCACAAGGCAATGAACCTTTGGTGTCTTTGCTTTGCAGTCTAAGTTACGCTTATTGACCAAAAGACCCAATCCATGGAATAGTTGAGGGAGCTAAGGGCGAAATATTCGTCTACCCCGAGTCAGCGTCGCACCAACTGGGGACTCTGAGACGAGGGGGAACCCGCCACCGCAATGCGAGCACACAAAGCGAGTTTCATCGATTGAAACCTGAGAAAAGAGAAGGCAGGTCTCGGCAAGTCTTTAGAAAACCCTCAAGAGATGCATTGTGCGTCGCAGGTCAACCTCGACGGTTACATCGCCACGGGGGGATCCCAAGTCGCCTCGTCTATCTGGGGGTTTACTCGAGCCGAGCAACTCTGCGACACTTCTGCAACAAGGACTTATTGTCAGCAACTATATCGCTCACAGCTTTGAGCAGGCATTTTTGGCGATACGAAATTGGTAATCAGGAACTTTCGCATGGCTTCTTTCTTGGGTTGACAGATGGGACATGTTTTGCAAAGAGCGGATGAATCCTCCTGTCTTTTTTGACACATGACAGCTTTGGAGGACTACGGGGCACGAGCTAAAAGAGATGGATGACATTTAGGGCCAGGGGCAAACTAACGATGAACTTGTTTTGCTTCATAGATTCGTCTTGTGTGTCTTGAAGCGCAATTGAACCATCTGCGAGTGTCATCCGATCAATTGACAGCTTGGCGGCTATTGAAGTTGATGATGCGCATTAAGCTGTGTAAATGAGGTCTCCTCAACCACTCAATGGCCCCATGCCAGAAACAAATAGGCGATCAGATGCGGCCGAAAGCGACCCAGGTCAACAAAGACAAATTTAGCAACGACAAAGAGAAAAAAAAGAACCTGTTCTCTCCCAAGTCACAGAGTGGAAACTCTCCGACACTCGCGCCCAGCGTCGCCGTCTCAGAGCTCAGCCCTCGAAACGCCCTGTGCCTGGAGTTCCTGAGCCACCCGCTGTAGGGCCTGGTAGCTGCGTCTCGGCAAGGATCCTGATTGGCTGCCCTGAGCCCCTCAGCCCCGGGTTGCAGGACGCCCAGAGGGAAAGAGGCACCGGCTGAGACGCCTGCAGCCGCATCAACGACTTCAACGACGCAACGGCTTCTTTTTTCCTGACTCTTGCATCCTCACTAACCTTACCGTTACTCGCCATCACCGTAGCTATAGGATTCTTCTAGGCCAGGCCAAGCGCTAGCTGACACCCTTTATTTCCCTACTGTTCGCTAACAGCTCTCAACACTTGCTGTTACATCACCTGAAAGGCTTCCTCTTGGCATTTCTACCCCTGGTCCAACCTCTTAACGGTCTAAGCCGACCCCCTTGGGCGTCCCGTCTTGGCAGTCAGTCTCGCATACCGACTCCTTAGACGCAGCTAGTGCCCCACGATGCCTAATCGTGGTGTTTCTCGTCAAGTTTGATCTACTACCTCCCCCCCGGTCTCCCTCCTCCCTCGTGGCCAAACTCCTTAGCAACCAGAGATGCCCTGTCCGGCTTTAACCCTCGTCACGGAAATGCGACCCTAGACTCGGCCCCCTCTGCCGCCGAGATGAGATCCGTCTGATGTGCAAGCCCGAGACGCTCGGGTGTCTGTGATTGTTATAAGTCATGGCTCGGCAACTCTGTCTCCGGCTCTTCCTCCACATCCTCTTCATGTTTTAAACCCTCTTGTTTTCATTCCTCTCCTTGACCAGATTCTTTCTTTTCTTCTCAACTCTGGTAGTGTCTTCTTTCATTCGTTCCTTTCTTGAGACCCAAGTTGGCCTTCTTGTGTCTGTGACCATTCCTTTCTTGTCTTTTCCTACTTTCAAACCGGTCTGGAACCACCCCAAAATCTCCTTCAACCTCTCTATCTACCCTTGTCTTTGACAATACCATCTCGACAATGCAGGTCAAGGGCGTGATCGTAGCCCTTCTGGGCATGACTGCTATCTCAGACGCTGCTGCGGTTGAACGAAGACACCCCTTTGCTCGCGCTCTTCAACGACGACAATTCGGCGGTGGTTTTGGAGGAAACAACGGCAACAACGGCGGTAATAACGGCGGCAACAACGGCAATAATGGTGGCAACAACAACAATAATGGTGGAAACAACAACAACAACAACAACAACGGAGGTGGCGGCGGTACAACCTTGAACGCGGCCAACGTCCAAACCGGCTCCCAGCAAGATGGTAACAACCCTGGCGCAGACGGCCAAGCAGCCTCAGCGACGTATGTATAACCCCTTCCATGCTTGACAACAGAACTAACTCGAACAAGGGATGATGCCAACTTCATCAACTTCTGCAATGGTCAGACTCTGACCAACGGTGAGCAGAACCGTGACGGATCTTGCAACGGCATTCGTAAGTCTCAACTCACAAGCCTCTACTTCTTGACTAACCCCTTGCAGCCATGGGCAAGATCCCCTCGGCCAACAACATGGTTTCCTCTGTCTTTACGACCCCCCAGAACGGTGACGATATCCAAGCGAATCAGGACTTTGACATCTCAGTCCAGATGATCAACTTTGCCCCTGGATCCTTCACCAATGCCACTTCTACCTACTATGCGGCTCCTCAGGATCTCGATGGAGGTGGTAACATCATCGGTCACACACACATCACTGTCCAAGATACTGGCAACTCCCTGAACCCTACTACTCCCCTGGACCCTACGCAATTCGCCTTCTTCAAGGGTGTCAACGATGCCGGTAACGGCCAGGGCCTCTTGACAGCCAGTGTCGATGGTGGTCTCCCAGCTGGTAACTACCGTATCTGCACCATGGCCTCCGCATCCAACCATCAGCCCGTCCTCATGCCCGTTGCCCAGCGAGGTGCCCAAGATGATTGCATTCGCATCACTGTTGGCGGTGGCAACGGCGGCGGCGGTAACAACAACAATAACAACAACAACGGTGGTAACAACGGTGGTAACAATGCCGGCCAAGACCAGAACCAGGACCAGAACCAAGGTGGTCAGAATGGTGACCAGAACGCAGGTCAAGATCAAAACCAGGGCGGTCAAGATCAGAACCAGGATCAAAACCAAGACCAGAACCAGGGAGATCAGAACCAGGGCGGAGACCAAGCTCAGGGAGATCAAGCCCAGGGAGACCAGGCTCAAGGTGGTGATCAGGCCCAAGGTGGTGATCAGGCTCAGGGTGACCAAGCTCAAGGCGATCAAGCCCAGGGCGGAGACCAAGCTAATGGCGGAGACCAAGCTAATGGCGGAGACCAAGCTAATGGCGGAGACCAAGCTAATGGCGGAGACCAAGCTCAGGGCGGCAACCAAGGTGGTAACCAGGGTGGCCAGGGCGGCCAGGGTGGTCAGGGTGGTCAGGGTGGTGGCAGAGGCGGCTTCGGCGGTGGCAGAGGAGGATTCGGCGGCGGTGCTGGTGGATTCCAAGCAGCGTCAGTCGACGGTGACTCTCGCAACCAGACCGAGGCCGACAATGGCACCAAATAATTGGGGTCAAGGGAAGCAGCAACAAAGCCACTACCTTCGTGTTATGCCCTGGTGGCCTATGGCATGAGTAAGGAGTGGCATGTCAAGAGTCGTGGCCGACGCACTCCGGTAATTGGGTGAAGATGTATCTAGAGGGGGTACGAGTTTGCGCATCAGGTCTACGCTCTAACAAGTGGGAAAGCGCCTGAATGCGAGTTTCCGCCAAGGACTGGGTTTTGGTCGGTCGGTTGGCAGGTCGGTTAGAAGGTAGGTTTAGTTACCATGATACACAATTGTAAGAGTTATGTTTATGTTCAGCTGCCTGTCCTTGAAGTTGTGAAGTGAATATGCCAGTGTACTTTGTGAATTTCAGGGGTAGTCAGTTATTGGCTAGGCTTACATGTCACTGGGGTATCATGATGAAGAGCTTGAAACCAGGTGAAACCGGCAACTCATGTCCCGGGTTGCAGGTGCTCGGGTGGGAGACTGGAAGCCAGATACAAAGTTCTCTGATAGCCAAGTCTATTCTTGTATCAAATAGAGTAACGACAGGTTTAGTGATTCTAACCAGACTCTATGAGCGCTATCAACAGTGTAAAACAGTACCGAAACTAAAATGCAAAGGTCCGAACCTAAATAGAAATGCCAAAACACAATGTAGATACGCCAACTACCACGTACGTAATTCCAAATAATAGATCCCGCTGTGGACTCTGTCCGCCAGTCATGCGGCCAAGTCTAGTCTCAGGCGCTCCTCCGGCCTGCGATCCTGTTCAGACGACCTGATCTCCTCAGCAGCGGAAAGTCTCCATCATCCAGGAGGTCATATTCGGCGTCTGGATCCGGGGCCGACTCGGTGACGGATGGAAGGGATGCCGAATGGCTGCTGCTGCTGTTGCTGCTGCTGTTGTTGCTGTTGCTGCTGTTGCTGCTAGACGTCTTACCCTTCCGTCGGCGCTTGTTCTTGGGGGCCTCATCGACGACAGTATCAGCATCGTCGGGTGTGCGTGTTCGCTTACCATTCCGGAGAGTGCGTCCTTCGGTGCTGGCTGAAGTTGAGGAGCTGCCAGTGGTCGACGGAGATGCACCGCGCCTTATCCTCTTTCTAGGCTTGACGGGTACCTCGTCTACGCTAGATTCCGAGTAATCAGACTGCGCGTCGTCCTCCGAGTCTGACTCTTCTGAGCTCAAGTAGTTAGGTGGGCGGCCACCAATACACTCGCTCCTTTCCGGGAGATAGTCCTTGATGTCAGACAGCCATTCGGGGTCAAGTTCATTCATCGTGGGTCTATCCTCCTGGAACAAATTCTCGTAGACAGGAACACCTGCGAGATCTAATATAGAATCCATAGAAACGAGGCAGGTCAGGCCGGGGAAGCGGTCGTCTTGCTCTGCAAACATGTTCTGGGCATAGGTGACGGCCTCAGCCATGTTGCTCTCCTTGATGTCGGCCACCATCTCGATAAACTCTTCAGAGCCCGAGGCCTCGCTCATGGCGGTTGCGCACTGGTAGTTAAAGATGGCTGGGTCTGTGATGTAGATGGGCATGGTGTTGTAACGTTTCGATAGCTCGCGGTAGAGATCTTTCATGTTGTGCTTGCGTTTGGGGATGTTCTCCTGTTCCATGAGGGCTTTCAGCCGTTCCAAGTTGAAATTAATCTGTTTCATGTACTGTTCTATTCTCGACGTTGCCACTTTTGCTCTGGTGGTGAATAGTGTTTTTGGTGTTGAGGTGTAGGGTGGGTGGGTAAATGTTGATGGATAGATTGTAATATCTGTTGACCCTGCCTGGGTCAAAACAAGACTTATAGATGATGTTTAGGTTATAGAATAAGACGCTGGCTTTGATCACTCCTGGATAGTCTTTACCCTGTGGTCAATCAACCACGATTTTCTTTGTTGCCTGCTTACTTGCAACCCTTAATACCCAGTCCTCTTTGTATGATCAGGCTCTGATGTGGACGAGATGCAACGATACTACTAACTCAAAGAATACAGACATTCAAAACCCGAATCTTTATTGTTATCTTGCATTTTTAAAGTTGGAAGACTATTATGTTGATGCACCCTCCGTCTTCCTTGGTGAATAGGTACAAGGCTCGGTAATCTTGGCTCTGTTCGGCTTATCTTCTTTGTCCCTCCCTTCAGCTCTTTCTGTCACATCGGCTCTAGCCGAGCAGTTATTTTTAATTACCCTTTGCCTTAGGTCTTTGTGATAGCTCTGCAAGGACCTTATGGTGGAAGAGTTGGACCCGGCATTTGTTGCTCCAAGGTTGACATGTCGGGTCTCTGTTAGGGCTCTCTGAAGGTACGGCGGTCGGTGACTTGATGGTTTCTGGCATCAATGATTGACATGAAGGCATATGTGGAAACGTGTGGTTCAGTCAAAGGTAAAAATGCAGCGTCTATTTGTCTCGAGAACCATTATTTGACCATGCTTGAATGCAAGAGGGCAGCTGCCACAGTAGAAGAATGCTTTGTGCGCCAAACACCAACGCCCATTGTCCAATATCAAGTCTCTTTTCTTTCATCCACGCTTAGGTCTGGTCAAGGTTAGCAGTTACACATTTGAAAGGAGACATGTTGCACATACCCACAGCCCTGAGGCGTAACCTCACCGAAAGGGCAGTCTCCTGAGAGTTTTTCGACAATCTGGTTGGCCCAGACGGGCGTGATGACGATACCGGCGCTGACCAGAGAGGCAGCGGCCGAGAGGAGAGTGACAAAGAGTGTGGTCTTCATGATGATTTGAGTTGTTGTTGGTGGCGTGATGGGTGGATTAATAAGTGAAGCCCGCGATAACAGAACCAGCTGAAACGCAAAAAGGGAAATTGATTGAGCCGACAGGGGCCAAAGAAGAGGAAGAATTGATTAATTATGAACGAGAGAAAGAGAAAAAGAGGAGAAGGAGAAGAACAGAGAAGAGGAAGAAAAAAAAAGAGGCGAAAATGACTCCTGTTACAGGGGCGCGACGGTCGTGGTTTCAGGCCGTGAAACATCTCCACGGCGTGACTGGTGGAAAGACGGTTTCGCCTACGCGCCTAGAATTCAAGCGGAACCCAATTAGGATACAGATCCGACGAGATCAATTGCATGACTTTAGACATTCACTGTCAATATATTTCTTGATATTAATTGTAGATTATTGTCCTGTTTATTGTCGCCGTGAATGGTCTTTAAACATTGTAAACCCCTGAAACTAGTTAGTCGTGGCCAAACTCAAACTTACCCCCAGTTCAACTAGTCTTGGCTTCCTTCTTGGCATCCTCCTGGGTATCATTCGTCTTTGCTTCAACCTTTTTCTTCGGCATCTTGAAAAGGTGTGACAGCAACAGCATCCTTGGGAACCGACGTTGCGTCCATCTCAAATGGCCCTTGCTGGACTTCTCTTCCAGCTAATTCTCTAGGCCTCTCTCGTCTCCAGCTCCGCAGCTTTTGGACCCGCTGTCGTCTTGGCCTTGGCTTGCGTCTCTGGTCCTGTTGATAGCTCTGCCTTCTGAAAAACCTCGGTGTTAGGTCCCTTGTTCTCATCTGGCGGACGTGACCATGTTACGGTTGGTCTTGGTATGCGTCGAAGCACCCCCATGAAGCCCTTGCTCGACTTTTCTGGGTCGTCTGGGCTTCTCTTCTTCCTTCGGCGGACGAATATGAACACCCCAATTATGATGATGCCTACCCCGACAACCACTCCAACGACAACACCAGCAGCGAGGCCAGTGTTGGTGCCGTCGTCCTTCGAATCGTTCCTGTTGTTATCGCCGCCACTGGTCTGCTCTGGATCGGAACCCGTGCTCGAAGGGATCGTGGAAGTTGATGTTTGTGATGCTTCGTTGGGGTTTAAAGTCTCGGTAACTGGTGACATCCAAGTCAGCAGGTGTCATAACTACCTCCTGCACCAGACATCCTTACAAGTTAAAGGTAGTCGCGTAGGCTCAGTGAGATACATGACACCGACTGAAGTCTCAATGCCGATAGAACCCTGGCAAGTGATAAGAGTCCCCGTAGATCCCCTCTCTGACTACGCCTCCAAGATGTAAGCCGTTTCGCAACCCAAGTCGCCAGAGCCATCTCGACCTATTAGCATCCATCGCCATCAGATACAGGCTAGCTGAGAAACGCACCACTGGCGAGCCCATGCCGACCCCGTTGACTCGCGCCCTGTGAAGCGTTCTACTATGACCTTGTCGCTAGAACAGGAACGGCCTATTTAGTAGATGCCGTCTCCCTCTACTTGGCCCCATTTTAACAATTGTAGAAGCCAGAGCGTTCGCGAAGTGCACCAGAGCCAGGGCAGTATGCCGTACCGACTTGGCTGGTTAGTAGAGTTGCGAAACTGAAAACGGCAACAACATGCCCGACGACGGCGATATCGTGTAGTATCCGATGAGATCTCCTTGGCCGACTGAACTCAGGACAGTCCCAGGCTTTGAACTCTCGAGAATCGCGGCCATGGTAGGCGTCGTGAACTGTAGAAACTCAACCAAGCAAAAGGGAAACAGTCAGAACGAGGAAAGAGTCTGAGAACACTCAACCCAACCCCCGAGTAGCATACTGGCCCCCGCTAATGCATCACGGGTCTTTGCGGTAGCATACGTCTCTTATTTTGAGAGACTTCAACGGATATAGATCTGGCGATAATCTCCACACTATGCGCCCTACGCCTGCCCGAAGGATCGGCCATGTCCAAAGAGGAAACCAGGCTGAAATTGCTGTAACCCTGAATGGCTGCTTATCGAGGGCTACTGCTGGACCGTTTAATTTGTGCGGCTGGGTGCAGGGGCGCATCAAGCATGTCTGCTATAGTTGGTGATGCTTGGTTGTGTGTTGAGCTTGGAGTTTTAATTCCAAGAGACAAGCCAACGAGTTGCACATTCAAACTCGGTGGAACTACTGCTTTCCTCTTTCAGCTCCAATCCTTGATTCTGTGAAACCCTGTTAAACGCCTGCCAAGTCTTATCCTCACCTCGTTGTTGGTGGTGGCTATTTGTGGCTGCAGAAACATGCATGCACTGCCAGCCTGCTCCCATGGGTGCTTGCTTGCACAGCCCATCCAAGATAATCAACGTCGATCGTTACACCAATTGACGTATTTTCTTATATCGGATTTGATTCTCTCAAGATCTACCCCTTTTTACGTGTCCAACACTGCCTTCTTTTAGCAACATCTTCATCACCGCGTTTGACTGAGTGATATCGACACACGCTTACATCATACGATGTCAACATCCGACAAGCCTATTCAATACGAAACGCTTCAAAATGTCGTCAAAACAGACACAAACTGTACATTTGAGGAGCCTCCTGGTCGCCAATCAGACGTCCGCGACTGTCTGATACCATCTGGCTCCTCGTCTTCGGACCCAAAACGCCAGAACTGGAGGCAACATTGGAAGAGGATTGGACTTGCGAGCATCGCTGCAATAGTATTCGGCACTGTGGTGATGTTTGCCTCGTTAGCGATTCTCGTCTTTCTCTGGCAGGGCGCTCAACTCGCTGAGCGTCGTCAAGAGCCAGTCCTTTGGCAGACCATTGTCTTTCACGGCTGGGCACCTCAAGTTGTCACTGTTTGCTCCGCTGCGATTCGTATCGTCATGGGTTTGCAAAACGGCTTCGTGGTTGCAGCCGTGGCAGCCATCATGCTGGAAACTTTAGGTGCTTCACTCGTCGACACGGCCATGCTGTCGGTTGAGAGAGCCCTGGGATCAAGCCCTCTCAACCTTTTGCCTCCAGCTCTAAGGCGATGCTCCACCAGAGAGGACCGTATTTCAGCCATAATACACCTTTTACTGGTAATGACTGCCCTAGTCATTAGTCTGGCTTCAACCTTTACCTCGACCATTCTCCTCTCTGACTTTAGGTCTGGCTTGGTTGCATCGCCCTCTGTCACGGCCAAGACAGGAATCGACTTTGCCACAGCGGGAGGGTATCGATATTTTGGAACGTCTGTTATAAAGTCAAGGCCCGTGGCCAACTGGCGATTCGCCGAAGCCAAAGATGGCGCCCTCTCTACCAAGGGCGACACAGGCGACACATACCGTTCCATGATGCCCTTTCAAGATGTAGACTCGAGGAGACTACTCGAGTTCTACTCCGGACCTGCCGCCGTCACAAACTTCAGGACCTTTTGCGTCGCCCCAGAGTTTCGAAACTTGACTCTTGCTCGCATCCAAGTCCCGGATAACGGCGGCGAGAGGAGCCTCAACGTCCTCGCCGACCTACTTCCCAGCACGGATTGGAAGTTAAAGTATGAGCCCTTCATCGGCACCGACAAGCCTAGTCAAATAAAGGCTCGACTGCTCGATAATTGGCATGCCTCTTCGCCGCCTAGCTGGCCGCTGACACTCTACTACTCTCTTGGCGACACGTTTAAGCCCGAGAATCAATCAACTACTTGGCCCTATTTCTTCCACCGGGCCTTTCTCTTTAACTCGACTGTGCTCCTTAATGAGACCGATAGGTGGAGTGACGACCTGCCTGAGGCACTGCGTAATCTCACCACAAAGAAGCAAGGCTTGTGGACAAAGGTCATGAATGCCGACGGAGTCGAGGTTTTCAGTGCTACCGAATTCTACTTCAACAATGCTGGACCGCGGCTGTACAATGTTACCATGTCTGGCCGCGGTATACAATCTGAGCCTACTGGAGACTGGCGCCGTGGACCAGGTCGTGGGAACCAGATGGATACACTCCATCAGATGGGCGTCGGAGCTGCTTTTGAAGATCGTGGTATCTTAGAGCTCAACATAGGCTCTCACCTTCCCGAAGATAACAGACCCTATCAAATGCCCCTTGGCCCTACTGCTCTATCAGCCTCAGGTACCTCATCTTACTCCGTCACTCAATACTCCTGGGCCTTTAGCGACTCCTGGATGACCACCATGTCCATGGGCTCGATGGAGTTCCCGCACCCGGCTCACTCATCCGTCTTTCAGAGTATCATCCAGCAGACTGAGGATCCGGCCCAGGCAGTGCAGGCCTTGATGACTCGACTGTATCAAATGCAGTACTATGATTTTCTGCCAGATTTTGATTACAAACAAACCACCGAGACGATGTACTCGACCGAGAGGATCATCCCGTCACGGTGGACAGGGCTTGTCGTCGTCTTCTGCCTCGTGGCGGTTCACCTCCTACTGGTCTTGGTTACGATGGTGCTCTTCATTTCTCGGACGAGGGGTTCTGCGCTTGGGAACATCTGGCAGGCTGTCTCCCAGATGGCTTCTCCCGCAACGAGGCAAATTCTTGAGTCGACAGATTCTAAACGAGATGATGAGGTGAGATCCTCCGTCAAGATAATGGGCAAGGATGCTGGGGTATATGGCATGTCACGGTCAGTTGAGACGGGGAGGATGGAGATTCAGCTTCGGGAGAGAAAGGAGATTATGGACTCGAAATTGTTACCATGAAGCATAGATTTAAGCGCAGAGCTCTTGGCACTATTCAAATAAACGATGATGGACTTAATGTTCTTTATTCTTACAAGAACTCATATTACACATATTCCACCCACAGCTTGTCCGGGCTGTCAAACTTGGCGTAACTCCAATGTACTAGCCCAGCTCCTCACACTCCATTCCGCATATTACCCCTTAGTGTGCAGTCTCTCCAAAATAAATCGTCGTAATTATGCCACAGGAACAGGAGCGGGGGGCTCAGTGCCGGAGGCGGACCTGGCTCCGGGAGGAGGCATGAACATGGGAAGGTAGGTAACAGCGAGGGACATGACTACATCCGCGTTAGTATGAGTTCCTCGTTACGAACAGCGGAACCAAGTAGCAGTTCTTGCGTGTCGCTTGGAGGGGGTAAACGTACTCGACATGCCGACGGAAAAGTATCCAGGAGTGGTGGAGTTCTTCTTAGACTCCTCACTCTCGCCCAGCCAGCTCTGAATGGAAAAGACAACAGCAGCCCTAATCGACCCCAACTCGTTAGCAGCTCGTTCGTGTATCAATCGCCGCTCGACTCCATCGCGCCACCTCTCCATCATCAGGGGGAAGGTTGATCAACCCACGTACCATCCCACGAGCTTGTTTCGCGTAAACATGGCGGCCATAGGCAGGGTCGTAGACATTGTCGAAGAGAAGTCGGTCGAGTCGCCCGTAGCCTTGGGCTCCTGGTAAGGGACGACTGGTGTTCTCAGGTTAGCTCCTGGTCGCATCATGGAATCGCATCGCGCAAGGCTCATTCTCCGTCGGGGAGGAAGAAGTGAGGAAATCTCGAAAGATACGGGTGGTAACTCACTCAGGTCAGCTCGTCGAGCATCCTTTGTGGGGGCCATGATTGCTGCTGTGAAGGAACACGGTGACGGAGATGGAGATTGGAGGTTGTCGCGAATTAGCTTGCTTGCGACCTGTCGAGTCGAGTTGAGTTGAGATGGGGGAGGCTTGACGAACTGTGGCTGTGGCATTTCGTGTGGGGAACGAGCTATGCTAAATACGACTAGATGTGGCGTTGCTTCTTGACACCTACCTAAATAGGAAATGGGTCTGATGCACCCACAAAACGACATCCACCAAGACTTGCATCATGAACAATGAGGGTGATTGAAGCAATTGACTTATTCGAGATACACTTATCATCTTTTATAGAGCCCTCGACGGGGCCTGTTACGAGAGGGGATTGCACCAGGCAGCGTAACACAATGGTCGACACAGACGCCGCTGCATCATGAGCGTGTATATACATGACAACGGGTATCCTCCCAAAATTTGCGTCGACAACATCAGCAATACATCAGATCATCACAATCCATCCACCCATAACCCATAGTCAGTCCCATAACATGCGCTCAGTTCCATACAGTCCCGCGCCAAAAATCCAAAAACAATCCCATAGTAGAAACGCCGAAACATGCACTTTGCTTGTAGCCAAGTCAGAATAGGGACTCGACCTACTCCACCCTGATGATGACCTTCCACTGCAACGCCCCGGCCTCGCGAATCGCGCAGGCCAGACATCCTCTCTTGCGCCGGCTGATGATGGCATTCCAGCCTTTTTGAGCACAGAGGGCACGGACCAAAATTTCCATGTCCGAGCCAAACTGTCGCTTTCGTGACTCAAAGTGCATCTGCTCCGCGGCAGGGAAACTGCCTCGTCGCTGAACAATGTTGTACTTTGAAGTGAGTCTCTCTATGGTCGGAGACTGAGGAACCTCGGCTAGGTTGGTGATGCAATCGATTACAAGAACACGCTCGCTACCCATTCGCGAAGGTGAGCGACGGTGAGTCTGAGGAACAGCAAGGAGCTCCGAGAGCGGAGCCTGCTGTCTCTTCAGGAGTTCCGAGATGTGCATAACCGTGTAGTTATACCACTTGTGTAAGGGATGTCCTGAAAATTTTGTTAGTTATGGCAATGAGTTGATTAATAATTGATCCATACCTGTCCTGTGTGCCGGGCGAGAGCTCTTGCCCAGCATATCGGAACCAGAGACATCAATTTGCTGAATTGTTGGACTAGATGGAGACTTTAAGAAGCGAACGCGATGCGATGGCGAGCATGGATGCGCGGTGACAAAGCTTATATCGTAAGAGAGCGAGAACGAAAAGTTCTCAGGAGTAAATCCGTCAATCGAAACACCAAAGTTGATGTTGGCGGGGAACGAGAGAAGTTCAGGGTCCTTGGTGTTGGAGCCCGCGAGAGAAGCTGACTTGGCGAAAGGCGTAGCCTGGATAGAGTTGGCGGGAGCGAGCAGCTCCAGGGATCGCAGCGTAACACTCATCAACGGCGGAGGAGTAGAATAGTTGTTTTCGTGGGGGATGATAAAGTCGGCAGGGAGAACAGAGTATTCGTCGGCATCTCCGAGGATGGAAGACTCTCGCTCAACTCGCTTCTTTGCCCAGAGTCTTGCCTTCTTTCCAAGGTGAGCATTATCCTCTGATACTGTGTTAGCATTCTTGTGCTTGAGAATTGATGACCCTGTTCAACTTACCAGCTACGTCTTCGACCTCAATGTTAACCCAGCCCTCATCGAGACCAAGGGGCAGAATGTCGCTAGAGACCCATCCCATGCACTCGGCTGATCCCTTGCCAGCTGCAATAACTCGGCCAACAATGCAAGACGTGCTCCAGAAACTCTTGCCAGAGTACACAAAGCCGCCACACAGATTGGCAAACGGGCCCAGCTTTGCCATGGCATTCTTATCATTCTCGAGGAGGGTAGCCATCAAGAAATGATACACGCCCTCACCTGGAAGCATCAATCCAAAGATGTATGATTTGGAAAGCCATCCCGAGGAGTGTAGAGCAGCAGCGAGCTTTCGTCGCTGAGGCTGGGGCTTGTTGACGTTCTTCTCGCCAGCCGGTCGGTCCCATGCCCCGAAGTACGATGCTCGCTTAGAGCCATTTTCCTTGGGAGTCTTGACAAGCGCAGGAGATGGCGCAATGCCCATTGACTGACGGGCGCTCTTCGCAATGAGGCCTTCGTAGGTATCGATGCCGGGCCAGTGGATCTTCTTTGCGAAATGGGTGAGACCCTCGACTTGTTGCTGTGAGTGACGGCCCTTAATGGTATAACTATAGTTTGAGGTGGGCGTGGCCTCCTCCTGGCGTTGGCGGAAGGTGAACTTGCTGACCAACGATCCAAGCCAGCCTGACGATGATCCGGGAGGGGTAACGGTTCCCTTTGGGGTAGAATCCTCGGCCTTTTCAATCTCGACATTCTCAAGCCAGCTTCGGGCAAGATGCAACGACCACTTGACCATGGGGGTGGCAGCCCTTTCAAAGTGAACGACGTCAATGGGGCGGAAAGCTTCGACGCCATACTCCTCGCCCTCGGTGATGGCGTCTAATCGGATGAGCAATTCGGTAGCAACGAGAATCTGCATGAGAAGCCAGTATTTCTCCTCAGCACGCTCACTAGCACTAGTAGCATCGTGAATGGAGGAGGCATCGTCAAGGTCATCGTTGTCGGCACCTCCCCAGAGGATCTGACCTAACCTGATCCTCCACTCAACATGGGTAAAGTCAAACCAGACATTGGCAGTACCCAGACACTTGAGGAGGGCATTGATCTGGTTGGTCAGACTGTAATGGTCGCGCTTGTCGACGACAGAATTGACAGGACGCATAAAAGTGTGAAATAGGTCCTGGTACGTTTGGACAGTCGTCTTCTTGCGGAGATCATTGACGCGATACAACTCGCCATTGCGCTTGATGCGGTCGAGGATCTCTGACTCGGGGAGGCGGCGCAAGTACCCCAGCGGGGAAAGCATACGCTCGCGTGCCTCGACAATGGCCTGAGCCTTTTTGCCGACGCTGTCAAAACCCCATTGCTCTTCCTGGAGAGAATCACCGACAGCGAGCTCAAGGGCAGCCGAGTAACCCATGGTTCCCTTCTCGAGGCCCTGCATGCTTAGCATATTGGGGCGTTCCCGGCAGCGGATGAAGAAGTGGGCCTTGCGGGACTCGACGGCCTTCTTCTGGGCGACGGCATCATGATTGAGATCGCGGGTGAGATGAGGCCATGCAGTGAGACCGCTCCAGGCCCTGTCCTCGATCTGGACGTGGTCGGTCAAGTCGCGGATCTCCAATGCTTCGTCAAAGGGAAAGGCGACACTGGGATTGGGTGCGCCAGAGCAATGACCCTCGCTGCGGGCAAAGTACTGGGGTGCGCCCGAGAAGAGCTTCTCAATCTCAGACTCGGTAAGAGTGGCCATGATTCTATCCAACTTCAGAACGGGCGAGGGCTTTGGCTTTGACGGGGACGAGCTGGCATTGTCTGGCTCAGAGCCCGGGTTCGGCGGCGGAGGAGGAAGGGGCTTGTTCTGGTCCGGTGGTGAACGCGGGGAAGCAAGAGTCCTTGGTGAATGTGACGGCGACTGTGATGATGAGGGTGTCTTAGTCCCTTGGACTTGGGGGGATCTGCCGTTGGAAGCTGGAACTAGAGGTGGGGCCTGGCGGCGGAAGCCTCGGTCGGGAGGAGCGGAGCGTGGCGGAGGAGAATGCGGGGAGGAAGCGACCTTGCAGGAGGCAAGAAATGTTAGTGGCACGCTCAAGAAGTAAAGAATTGAGGGAAAGAAAAAAGACAATTGGGGGACGAGGCAATTGAAGGATGGAAAAATATGACAGATTTCTTTTGCTGGATAAACGGGAACATGCATGCTCGGCAGGCTTTAGACCGGCACAAGGCCAATTGGACCTCCGGTATGGCATGGTGCTGCGGGATACAGCAAGAGGCGCACCGACCTGAGCCCATGGCCCCCCATCGAGCGAGGCATGACCTGAGCATCAACAGAACGTGCAGCCGATCGTCCTGGCACGCGACACCCGGACCTGGGACTGGCCTTGCTTCCAGGGCTTGGTTGGCTGGGCTGAGGGTGGCCTGATGGTCCGCCATAGGGGAGGGGATTGGAGGGAGACGCCAGGTCCCGGGCCCCTCGAGTCAGGGATCAAATGCCACCAAAAGATGAAATTGTCTCAGCGGTTATTAACAGGTAGAGTAAGAAAAAAAACCTCTCTTTCACTTACACGCTCCCCATCGCCCTCGGTCACATTTACCCGTCCGCCTCTCTCCTTTACGCGCTTCCTCGCCCGCGCAAGGAGACCCTGAAGCAGGTAGTCGGGCCTGGCAAAACGGCCAGTCCCCGCTGCGGATGCACCAATGGCGCCAGAGTCTTCGGTGTCGTCCTCGGCGCTGTCCTCGTCGTCGTTGTCGTCGTTCATAGCCGCCGTTATAGTTGTGGTGACGCCCATGGCGTTCTGGGGCTGCAGCGCCCGGGATCGCTGCCGTTCATGATGCGCCGGCGCAATCTTATTCTCAGCCGATCTGTCCTTCTGCTTCTTCTTCCTGTCCCTCCTCAATGACTTGTCAGCGACATCACTGAAAGTACTGCTCGCTGCTGGCCGCGGAGACGGCCTAGATTTGGTAAGTGGCATCGCCGTAAAGACGCCGCTTGCGTTCCAGGGACAGCAACAGCAACAGCAGCAATGGAGATCAAACCCCGGCGCAACGCGGGCATCCGCCGCCGAAGGTTCAGATCGGCCTCGGCGATGGTGGCGATGGCAGCCAACCTCCAAAGTGGGACGGCGCCCACAGTTGAGAGCGGGATTTGACACGACTGAGATGAGCTGCTGCTGCTTTTGTATCAGTCGGTCAAGCCAAGGTTCCGTGTTTTCCTAATCGCTACCGCCGTCAGTCAGATGTTCTCTGCGTTGGTTCGCCCTGCCAGCTGCTGCGAGCGGGATTGGCTCCGGCGCGCATTCAGGGCTCCGTCGACAATAACTCGACCCGTCTTGTTGGTTCCGGCGCATGTATGGATGTATGTATGTATGGGCAAAGAGTGTATGGATGGGGAATGCAAATCTCGCAGTGACAGGAAGGAAAATAACTCGCCGGTGACGGGGGCAAGGCCATAGTTATCATTGACCCCCGTCCTTCTCGTCAAGACATGGAAAAATGCCCTCCACTCGCCTGTCAGTCCACGTACGTACATTCTCAGCATATAATGCTTCCCAGGAGTTTAAGCGGCTGTCTCAGGTCGTCGGCGCACAATCCCGTGCAGCAAATAAATCTGCCTTCTGCCCCTCTCCCCGTTCCTAGGCCTCTTTATCCGCTTCTCTTCTTCCCTCTTGTGCAACAGTCCCCACGCGAGCGCGGGTATCTGGGAGGCCAGGACGGTGGGCCGTGGTCCTTGAACGTTGGAGGATCGTGGGCCGTGGCCGTGGCACCTGGCAAAAGAGAGGTGACGGGGAAGGATCTGCGATTCGATTCGCGTCGATGCACACTCGCATACAACACGTATACGTCCCAAGGGTATATAGGACCAAAACCAGCTTCTGCATCGGCACATCATCAAGGAACCTGGTTTATATATTGCCCACCCCAGTGATGGACCGGCTATCCATGCGCCCGCCCGTCCCATGGATGCCAGAACAGAACCCTTTCTCTGGCTGCTAAAACTGCAAACTGGCCATGGAAGATCCTCCTCTAGCCGTACCTGTCAGCCTCAGCCTCAACCTGGTACTGGAAGCTGCGGGAGTTTGTGGGCCTGGCCCAAGGAATGCAGCGTAAAGTGGAGGGGCTATCCGTCTCTCAACCTGGGGCCGACGAGTTTCGAAACCTCCGTCGCGAGAAAGCCGAGCCAGGAATAGGAATATCCACCGCTTCTTCCAAGTTTTCTCTTCTGCATCCTCAGGATCCGAAAGCTTCGTCATCTTCAAACTGCTAGTCGAAATCTTGAGAGTAGTATCCCCGGATGAGAGAATCGGCATTTGACGCTCGGTCTCGGTCATCCTGTCTTGGATGGTATCTAACTGCTGAGTTTGTCCAGGATGCATGTTCCAGCCCTGCATAAACAGCATCCTTCTTTCAAAACATACTACTCCGTATCCTTCTGGACGTGCGTATGTGCGTGCGCGCGCGCGTGCGTGCTTTCGTCTTACATGCGCTCGCCCGTGTCGTGGCGTCTTGTTTGTCCCCAACCAAAAAACCTCAAGATTTGCAACATTCAGCGTTGCATGGATGTTTGGACCCGGGATTGCTGCTCAATTGCGCTGGTTGCCGATATCTAGGAAGCTAGGAAGCGTGATCTTCCATCGTCATGACCACCATGAGGCCCCTCCGTCCACTTTACGGCTCCTTCGCGTTTCCACCCTCACCACCAGCATTCTCTTCATCATTGTGCGTCCATGTGAAACAACGGCCGCACCCCGGTTGCAACCGTTCGGCCCCATCAAAACCCTCGAAACACGCGGCAACTTGCAGCCGCGAACTCTGTCGAGCGGGAGCCTCGCCCGTCCAGGTCCAAGGGGTAGCTGCATCGCACCCGATGGGACCGACCGTATTAATAAAAGGCACCCGATCCGATGGGAGTACCAAGACAAAGGGAAATGGGTATCGAGATAGCCGCAAGGGCGCAAACTCCAGCCAAGTAACCCATGTAGCTTTCTGCTTTCAAACACTTCCTGCACCTCCACAATCCCCAACCTTTGAACCGTAATTTCGTTTATGGCCTTGTGCACTCTTCGAGGCCGTTCCGAGAATGTGGTGGATGCGTGCTCCTTCTCTTTGTCAGATCATTTCACCGCCTCTCTATCCAACATCCCGTAGCCAGCATAGAGCGAGTTCCGGACATGCGGGAAAACAATACTCCAGGTTGAGCTGACCTGCACGAGGCATTAAGCCTTCAACGTTGAAGCATTGGTAAGACATGGACTAATACACTTCCAAGCTCAAGCTGGGGGGGTATCATGCACGACGATGAGCAGGTACTTGGGATCGGGCACAATCACCAACTCCTGCTTCTTTGTTCGTAACCGTAGAAGCTTCACCTCGTCCTGTCCAACATCAGCATGAATCCTTGTTAAAATGTTGGTTGAGATTCTCACCTCTCCGTCCAGCTCCTGGACCAAGCTCCCGGAGCTATTCACATAGTTCCACACGACCGCAGCAAACTGCTCGACTCCTTGCGTCTCGCTCTCCTCTAGTGCGGGGGCATCGTTTGAGAATGCTGTGGCGGTCGAAGTAGTTCGTGTCTTGGAGGTCTGTAGGGCATCGACTTGTCCGCTCGTCTTGAGAATCGCACCCGTAGCTCGGTCAAGGACGATGCTGGCCTTGACACCAGGCTTCTTGGACAGGCGACCAAGCTTCTCTTCGAGGGCGTCTGGCCCGTTTCCCTATCTCTTGTCAATGTATGATCAAAAATCATGTTCAAGGCGACATACCAAAGCCGAATCAGTCATCGTAAAGTCGAAAACAAGCTGAACGTCCGTCGTGATAGTTAACTGTTGCAACGGGATCGGCCCCTGGCGACGTGATTGGATTGACGCCAGCTCGGTCGCGGGGCAGGACCTCACGAGTTCTGCCGCCCAACACCGCCAAAATTTTAGAGCCCCTCCAAAGAAGGAAAGTAGATCTTATCAGTTTGGCTGGATCAAACAATATCAATCGCAGCGTACAAAGAACAAGACCATTGCGTAGCGTTGCAGGTCCTCACGTCTCTTTCAACCTCACATTTCCACCTGTTTTACTACCCAAACCGGCATCATGGGCTCCAGCAACAAGAAGAAGAAGGAGAAGAAGAAGGACTTCCAGGTATGATCGAATCGCTACGCCTTATGATGAACATGAACTGAAAAGTTCCCAGAAACCCAAGTTCAAGGTTGGAAAGGATAAGGCAAAAGCCTCTAATTTTACAGACACCAGTTTCAAGTCAAGAGGTGAGAAGGATACTCGCATCTGTGGTGTGAGGAGTACTAACAGCCACAGCCATTGTGATGGGACACCAGTCCCTCTCAACAGTCGCACCAGATGTCGCCCAACAATTCAAGCACAGTCTATCACTCGCCTCTGGATCTAAATCCGACAAGCAACGAAGAGAATCATTGGCCTACCTCACAAGTCAACTCTCATCAGAACCACCTACCAACCCCGTGGGGACTCATGCTGTTCTCGCCAAGCTACTCCCTCTCATCTCCGACAGTTCAACACCAGTACGAAGCCAACTCCTCAAGCTTCTTAGAGTTCTTCCCCCGGCAGAAGTCAGACACAGCGTGGAACCAGCCATCATGTTCATTCGAGCAGGCATGACACATCTTTCTGCTGATATTAGCAACGACTCTCTCGGTATGATGGAATGGCTACTGGACGTCGCCGAGGGTGACTTGGTTATATGTCCAGGAGGGTGGGTGAAGACTCTCAATAGTTTCTGCGCCATGATGGGATGGGCATTATCGTCGTCCAAGGCTGGATGGACGTCAGGGTCGCGGTCCGGTCTTCGTCCCAAGGATGCTTCAACATACGCCCGTCAGATTACCACACTATCACGATTCATCGAGGCAGGCCTTCGACATGAGGATGAGATACCGGACGACGAATCAGAAATCTGGGACAACTTGTACAGAATCCCCCGAGACTCGAATGCTTTTGAATATCTGAACCTGTACGGTTCCCGGCGCGACGAGGAGGGCGAGATGTACCCAAGCCGAGAAGCCAGACAGCGAGTGTTTCAGCGGAGGTTCTTGGAAGCGATAATAAAAGGTGCCGACCAGGCGAAGAAGGAGGGCGGCGCAACTGGGCGTGCGGCCGCTGGTCTCGACAAAGTGTTGGGAGAAGGGATGGGCGACTACGAGAGCTCAACGGCGATGGATACCCAGGATCTGTTAAGTCTTTGGTGAATGGTTTACATATTTTAAGGCGCAAATAGAGACATTGTTTCATCTGTACTTAGAGCTGCCACTGTGCTCTTTGGTTGTTTGTCCCTCGTGCTTCATTTGCCGTACTTGCTCTCATCTTCCTCCTCGCCTTCACTAATCCCAAATGCATTTTGCAGGTACAAGGCTGTCTACACAGGGACAACTTTGCAAGGAGTAGTTCTCTCTATGGGTGCATTAATAATAGAGATAAATACCTGGTTAGAACGAGATGCTGCCATGGAGTCCGAGTAGCAAGCAGGTAATTCACACAAAGGGCTCGACAAAGGACAATGCATGTTGCTAGACAATGCAGCACGAATGCGGCGATTGCATTCAGCAAAGCTATTCTCAAAGGAAGCTCTCGGTCTCTTCCCTACCTAGTAATATTTACTCAATTCTTAAGTTATCAATATCTCAAAAAGGGGAGTATCATAAACAACCCACACACTCATCTCTCCTTATCCCGATAACCACAATCCCTCCTTCTAATTACTAATTCCAAACAGGTGTTTCCTCTAATTTCTCCTGTGCCCGTGCGGGCATTCTCCGTCACCGGCAAACAGCGTGCTCCCCCTCCCAGCGTTGCCTCCGAGTGCGGCCTCCTATCCTAAGCCTTAGGGTCTCCCCAACGCGTCGTGTTTTCCCTAAGACTTAGGATCATAGAAACCTGAGGAAGCTCTGTGAATCACCGCGTGCAGGAAGGCACGTGCGGGCAGCCATAACAACAAACGCCTTCTTCTCTTCCTCTCCTCTCTCTCTTCTCCTCCTCACATCCTTCCCATCGGCCTGACACTTCTCGCGACTTCGTCGAGAACGGATCAGGAGCCTCTTCTTTTACGTCTCAAAGCAGCACGAGAGGAACAGCGCTGAGTTGTTTCCTCTGTTCTGCACCGAGAGCTTCGTAATCAGGTTTGTCGCTGCCGCCGCCTCCTCCTCCTGCTCCTCCCTCTGCTCTGATCTCCCTCTCCTCCTCATTTCGCATTTCGCATTTCCTTCATCGCGACAATCGTCCTACTTAATCTCCTCCTACGCTTAATGCTCGGGACATTTACTGACAGCTCCTGCGCAGTAGGCTCGCATCCGCTCTGTCAAGTGAACCTGTCGGCCTTCAGCTCACCTTCTGCCAAGCATCGAGATTCGCAAGTAAGTGTCATCTCTCTTTTCTCGTCATTTATCCCCTCCATTCTCTCTTGTCCCCATCCTACGGCAGTGACTTCGCCCAAGCTTTCGCGAGCGCGGGTGCTCGTTGCTGGTTTTGACACACCACACACCATCCCTCACTCGTGTGTGTCTCCTGCCTAACTTCTTACAACAGAACTTCGACTACCATGACTGCCGCTTGGACTACCGGCCCTCCTTCGGGTGAGGCCGCGAAAAGCAATGGTCAGAATGGACACGCTCAGCACCATGACGATCAGGGCGATGAGTCTTCCAAGGCCAAGTGGGCTGAGCCCCAGGCAGTTGACTACACTGCCCTCGCATCCCAGAACTACGACCAGGGCTGGGGCTGCAACGCCCGCTCCTATGAGTGGAAGGACGAGTATGGTGACGTCGGACCCAAGTTCCCCGAGCTCGAGCTTGAGCTGTTCGGTGACCCCAGCACTCGCCATGAGCGCACTGGTCTGGACTTCTCTCAGTATGTGGCCGCCCTAGCTCAGTCGTCTTCAGTATCGCTAACGTTCTTACAGGATCCAGAGCATTGAGGTCCAGCAGGAGGGACCTCAGAAGATTGGTCCGATCGCTACCTTCAAGGACGCGGGTCTTCACCCCGTTATGTTGGAGAACGTCAACCTCTGCGGTTATGACAACCCAACTCCTATTCAAAAGTTCACCATCCCTTCCATCCTCCAAGGACACGACGTCATTGGAATCGCTCAGACAGGTAAGCTCTCAGTTCGTGTCACCGATCACCATGCTAACGAGATATGTAGGTTCGGGCAAGACAGCAGCCTACCTCATCCCCATCTTGAGCAAGCTCATGGGGAAGGCGAAGAAGCTTGCTGCCGCTCGCCCCAACCCCCTTACTTTCCGTGAGGGTCTTGACGAAGTTACCGCTGAGCCTCTCGTCCTCATCATTGTCCCCACCCGTGAACTTGCAATTCAGATTTTCAATGAGGCGCGCAAGTTCTGTTATCGCACCATGCTGCGACCCGGTGTTGTTTACGGAGGTGTCCCCATCCGTGAGCAGATCGGTCTGCTGGGCAAGGGCTGCGACGTGCTCGTTGGAACCCCCGGACGTCTGGTTGATTTCATCCAGCGTCCTAAGTACCTCACCCTTCGACGTCTCCGATACATGGTTATCGATGAGGCCGATGAGTTGCTCGATCTGGACTGGAACGAGGACATCGACAAGATTCTGTCCGGCGGTGGTGAGTTCACATTGCAATGAGCCCAGTATCAGTGACTAACTAACACCTCACAGAACAGGATGAAGGCAACGTCAAGTTCAGCCTTTTCTCGGCCACCTTCCCCAAGTCGGCGCGAGATCTCGCGAAGAACTACCTCGCTGCCTCTCATGTCCGTTTCCGCGTCGGTCGAGCTGGAAGCACCACTGCCAACATCAAGCAGATCGTGCTTCCCGCTGAGCCTCACGAGAAGCGTGACATTCTCTTGGGACTCCTGGAGGAGATGCATGGTGTCCGTACCATCATCTTTGTGAACAGTCGCCAGGCTGCGGACAACCTGGACGACTTCCTCTACAACATGAAACTGCCTGTGACATCGATTCACAGCGACCGCACTCAGCAGGAACGTGAGGCTGCGATGCGCTCTTTCCGCTCGGGTAACGCACCCATCCTCATCGCGACGGGTGTCAGCGCTCGCGGCATTGACGTCCGCAACGTCGTTCATGTGATCAACTATGATCTTCCTTCCATGGACCATGGTGGCATTGAAGAGTACACCCACCGTATTGGTATGTCCTTCCTTGCCTTGGCTTTAAATAATATCCCAGGCTAACTTCTCAGGTCGTACCGGTCGCATCGGACATCGAGGCATTGCGACATCGTTCTTCACAGAGCGCGACGAAGGGATGGGAAGCGTCCTCACTCGCACTCTTCTCGAAACCAACCAGGAGATCCCGGATTGTCTCCAGATGTACGTTCCAGAGGGCGAGGCCCGCACCAACCTCAAGTTTGAGGCGGACTCAGACTTTGACCCCAACGATGTCGCCGGTGCTGGTGACGCTGGCGGTGCTGGTTGGGGAACTGGTGACGGTGATGGCGGAGATGGTGGCAACGCTTGGGGAGGAGGAAACGCCGGTGCTGAGGGTGGTGACGCCTGGGGTTCTGGTGGAGGAGACACCGGGGCAGCGGGCGGCGATGCTTGGGGTTCTGGCGGAGGCAACTCGGATGCCAACTGGAACAGCGCCCCTGCTGCTGCTGCTTCCGCTGACTGGTAATCTGGTCAGGATCTGTCACGGGCATCTGTCACCGACATCTGTCACTGACAACCATCAACATTAGGGGGTGTAAAATGGTGAGATCTGGGGATCTAGTAATCGAGTAGGGGCTGGGTATACATCAAGTACTGGTTCTATTAGTCAATTCTTTGACAAAGCTCATAGCTGATGAATACGATGCTCTACATGTTCTTGAGAATTTTAGCCAGGCCCTTGATTTTCCGTGTTGGTCCTCCATAGCCCAGTTCAACAACACCTTGAGTGAACTTCCAACTGTCTGGCTGACTTGCGACAGGATACTGCACAGGAGGGGGGATGCTCGTGCGGATGCCCAGCCAGCCGAAGCGGTCCTCACACACAGCCTTGGTATTGCACAGGCCACGAAGACCCTCTTCGCCAGCGAAGCGGCCGTAACCAGAGCCACCAACACCACCAAATGGCAGCTGGACGGCGTAGTAGACGGCAAAATCGTTAACGGCGACCATTCCAGCGCGCAGACCCTTGACGATGGGTTGCAGGTTGGGATCACGCTCAGAGCCGTGGACAGAGGCTCCAAGGCCAAAGCTGTCGATGTTGGCGATGGAGAGAATGTCCTCGGGAGACGAGGACTTTGCGCGGAGGAGGGTCAGGACAGGAGCGAAGCACTCGTTCTGGGCGATGCGCATGTCGGGCGTCACGTCGGCGAGGAAAGTCGGCTGGAAGTAGTGACCTTGGGGATAGTCGGGATGGTTGTAACGCTTGCCGCCAGCAAGAAGACGGGCTCCCTGGGAGACAGCTTCAGCGATGAGTTCCTCGAGGCGATCGAAGGAAGCGTCTGAGATCATAGCACCAACGTCGGCCTCGGGACCCAAGCGGAGAGCCTTGACACGGGGGGCAAGAAGCTCGACGAGCTTATCGTGGATGGCGTCGGGTGCAATGACACGCTCAATACCGATGCAGTTCTGGCCAGCAGCTTGGAAAGTTCCACGAAGGATGACTTCAGCAATGCGCTTGATATCACGGGAAGCAGAGTCGAGAATAATAAATGGGTCCTTCCCGCCGAGCTCAGCAACAACAGGGGTCAGACTCTTGGCAGCACTGGCAGCAACGTGGTGGGCGACACTCTGAGAGCCAATGAATGTGATGTGACTGATACCGGGATGGGAGGTGAGATGACCGGCGGTTTGGGGCCAGCACACGACAGTCTGGACAAGCTGAGGATCGAAGCCATGAGCGACGAGAGCACCGCGGGCGATACCGGCAAAGTAAGAACTCGACCAAGCCGTCTGCTCCGAGACCTTGACGATAATACCATTGCCAGAGAAGAGAGCGCTGATGACGGGGCCAATTAGGTTGTGGAAGGGGTAGTTCCAGCTGACAAGAGCAGCAACGACACCCAGAGGCTCATAGTGCACCGTGTTGCGCTTATACATCATGAGAAAGTTGGTGGGACGTCTCGAGGGGCGCAGGGCCTTCTCGCCATGGGCAAGAGTCCATTGGAGCTTCTCAACCGTGACGAGAATCTCACCAAGCTGAGCATCAACCATGGTCTTGCCACTATCCAAGCAAGCAATCTTGACAATCTCCTCCGCATTGTCAAGAACGTGCTGCATGATCGAGCGCAGAACAGCCCGGCGCTGGTCAAACGTAGTCTCGGCCCATATCTTCTGAGCAGAAGCTGCCGAAGCAACGGCGCGGTCGATAGCAGCAGGCGTCGCGGCGTTCACGTTTCCGAGGAATTGTCCCGTAGCGGGAGCATAGCATTGAACAGCGGAGCTGCCCGAGACCTTGACAGAGGGGACGTCGACGTAGGTACGAGGCTCGGGGATCTTGGGCGCGGGGACCGTGTAGCGGCGGGGGCGGCCCGTGGCGGCCGATACGGAAGCCTTTGCTATAGCATTGGTGATTCGGATGAGGAGGACGGTAAAGAGGATGGCAGTGCCGCTTGCGATGGCCGAGAGGGTGTTTTGTCTGAATACAACGTGGTCAGCTTCCTCTGGACGGACTCAATGGGCTGGGTATAGCTGAAGCCTTACGAGATGTTGTACTCGGCAGCAAGCTCATTGAACCGCCGCCAAGCGGTGAGAATAAACGGTTCCTGTTGATCCATTGCCGGTGAGAAAAAGAAACAATTGCAATTCTCTCAACCACAATTGTCCGTAGAAGGAGGGAGGGGGGAAGAATTGAGAGTCCCCTTTTTATGTATGGTTCGACTTGTTGAGCTGCGGCTTCGTTTCTTTTGAGTGTGGATGCGACGTGCAATTGAGGTCGGATTAGCGCCGGGGATCGAGTGGGGCTTCCTTCCTCTGAACGTGCCTGCCAAGCCTTGACCGCCAAGGGGAGACGCTCCTACCGTATTCGTACTCGATTTATCTGATCCTCGCTCAAGCAATGGCAAGTGCTTCCCGTCGGCACCTGCCGGAGGTGGGCAGAGCAAGATATAAGAATGGATGCGTTGCAACAGTCTCAACACCACGAGTGAATTGTAATATCATCTTGATTTCGTGTCTGGTCTCCAAAAATAAGGGACAACCTAATTATATAGCCACTCCTATTTACATCCACCATTTGATGAGCCCATCTCCTACTCCCCGTCTCTCTCTCTCGGGCCTTACATCCTCCACCGTCTGCCCAACGCCAGTCCATCTGTTTCGAGCTTCTCTCTCTCTCTCTTTCTCTTCTCCCCCTCTTCACAAAATGAAAAGTCCCTCGTTGGGGAATGAGGTTGCTGCCTTTTCAGCTCTAAAGATGCAAAAAATATGGGAAACGACATGAGAGAGGGAAAAAAATAAAAATAAAAAAAGGTGATAGCACCGAAACGACCAAAAAAACAAATCATACAAGAACCCCTTTTGCATGTCCCCTTTCAAAACGCCCTGCGTGCGTAAAGCAAAGCCTCCCAGGGTGAAGGCTGGGAGGAGTTAAACAACCAAATCGACAACCCCCCTTCCTTCCGCTACCTGCTCCAGTGTATGAGATGAGAGCTCACTGACTGACAAAAGTTGGAGGGGAGCAACTCGTAGATCGCTCGTGCAGATCATAAGTGCATCAATGGCCCCCTGTGTGGCCCGGGATATCAAAAGCGGAAAAGGGTAAAGAGAATAGACAACTCGGAGCCCGACAACGGCATCTATGCCGTCATGCCGAGTTGAGGTAATATACAAGGAGCGTCAGGGTCTCCCAAGTCGCATGGAGCCACGATTGTTGTTTAGACATTGGCACTCTTTGTTAGCGACAGACCGCGGAGTCGGGGGCGAAATCGCCCGCCTTGTGATTGACTCGACTCAATCCTTGATAATCGTGCGGCTGACGTGAAGTCGCTGCTGGCCTCGAAGCTGGGTCGTACCCTGTCCATCGATGCTCGGACGCGATCATATGATGGCCGGGCACGGTCAATAGACGGCCGAGCCTGCATGGGAACATCCATCGACATGCGAGGACCCGTGTAATTAGTCGAGTCACTGCCATTCTGGCTGTGTTGATTATACGTTGTGGTTCGGGTCGCTGTCGAAGGTGGGTAGATTGGTCGCAGGTCCTCGTCGACGCTTCCATACGTCATGTGCTTGGCTGCCTTCCTCGACTTCCTTGAACTCTTAGACGACTTGGACTTGTCGCTCTTGGTGTCGGCCGTGAGAGGGTCGCTTGACTCCTCCTTCTGTGTCAGATGAGCAAACATGCCCATCCTCTCTTGCTCACGGATAATGTCCACATCGTAAGGCCAATACACCTTCTGGAGAGCCTTGATGCCAAATCGAGGGAAGAGGCAGATGACGGGCACCAGGAAGAAGACGGCCCAAAACGACGCTTCTTGATACACCTGGGCGGCGGTTCCGTAGAAGAAGTCGGATGAAGTGAAGGATGTGTAAACTCCAGTCCAGAAGAAGATGAACACGTCACTGATAACGACAATGAGCACCATCAGCCAATCCCATCGGTACGTATTGATCAAGATGTACATGTTGATCGTGATGACAGCGGGGTGAGCAATGTAGGCGCCGAATCGGAGTCGGTCCTCGACACCGAGACCGTTGCCGGTCACAACGATACCGGGCTCGAAAAGCAAGTAGGGGATGAAGAAGACCATAACCGACTGGTAGACACCGTCAACCATGTAGAGCCTATCGCAAGTTAGCATTCGTGACCACCATTCCACAAGATTCTGTACTTACCAGAACTTGAGCTGGGTCCACTCCAGTCGCTCAATACCTCGGCGGTAGAGCTGAGGAACGGCCAACGATACCTTGTCAGAAACATCCTGATCCAGCACACCCATAATGGCGACAGGCACCGAGGTGAAGAATAGGTTGAACATGAGAATGTAGGTGTAGTCGAAGAGATAGGTCATGTCAAAGTCGCAGTAGAGGCCATACCAGAAGATGGCGAACGTCCACACCATGTTCTTGTAGAAGAAGTTGCTGATACTCTCGGCCAGACGGCGGTAAGACCAACGACCGTGGACAAGGACAAGTCTCTGAAGGAATCGGAACTGAGCAATGGCATAATCAGAAGACATGGCCGCCTGGCGACCCTCGACACCGGCGATACCGACACCAACATCGGCCTCCTGGATCATGGCGACATCGTTGGCACCATCACCAATTGAGAGCGTCATAACATCCAAACCATTCTTGACCATGGCGACGACAGCAGCTTTCTGAGCGGGACTGACTCGGCAGCAGAGAACCGACTTGCACTGCTTGCAGAGCAAGAGGAACTTTTGCTTCAGACGATCGTTAAGGACCCATCTAAGTGTAAATCCATCAATGACCAGTCCGTGAGTCGGCGCGGGAGGCTCGTGGTTCTTCTTGGCATGAGCGAGATCCTCATCACTGCCCGTGATGTTGAAAGTCTTCAGGTTGTCGTCCAGTAGCTTCTCTGCCATATCAAGGAAGGTGTCGTCAGTCACTTCTCCAGCCTCATCCTCCTCCACCTTCAAGTGAATAAGCTCCATGTCGTTGTTGAGCAGGTTGCATGAGAAGCCGATGTTGATGGCAGTCTCGACCTTGTCGCCTGTGAGAACCCAGAGCTTGATACCAGCGTCACCCAGAAGGGCAATAGTGTCAGGCACACCATCCTGCAGACGATCCTCAATAGCAGTACCACCAATCAAGTAAAGATCGTGCTCAATGAGCTCAGCCACGGCCTCGAGCTTGTCCTCTCGGTCCTCCAGTGCAGAAGCGGCAGCATCGTGCTCCTTCTTCCAGGTTCGGTACTCTTGTTCAGAAATTTCCTTGTGGGCAATGCAGAGTGTACGAAGACCTTCTCGGGCAAACATCTCCAAGTGTTCAGCTGTTTCCTTCCTGAGCTCCTTCTGCTCTCCCCGCTTGAGGCGAGCGTAGATGACACTGTCGGCACCCTTGCAGAAGAGAACAATGCGACCATCGGGCATTCGCACAATTGAGCTCATTCGCTTACGGCTCGAGTTGAACTCGATCGTGTTGAGAATCTGGTAGTGTCGGTCCTCGCCCAGAACGTTCAGGTTGATGCCTTCGCCCGAGTGGCCGAGAACCGTGAAACCCATATCGCGAGCGGTAGAGACTAGAGCTTCCTCGTCGGGAGACTGTGCCTTGAAGATCATCTTGGGCGAATCACCATCGATCCTTTCAGCAATAACGGTGTGGCAAAGGGCCAGAGCAAGCATGAAGTAGTTGTTGGCCTGCTGCTGTTCAAGGCCATGCTCGCCAGCCAGGTCGGCAACGAAATCGGGAGCGATAAACGTGACGTCTTCATCGTGAAGATACGGGCTGTCATGAAGTCTGCGAAGGCCAGCAATTGCGCGAACCTTGGCTTCAGCGATCTCGCCTCGAATCCTCTCACCTTCCTTCTCAACATCGACACCAAGTCGCTTCTGCATTCCAGCCTGAGCTTCGGTATAAGCCTCTCCGTAAGGCTGTCCATTGATCGTGGCCTTCTTGAACTCCATGACGTTCTGAGTGAGTGTGCCGGTCTTGTCGGAGAAAATGTACTCAATTTGGCCAACATCATCCGAGATGTTCCAAGACTTGGGAATACAAGGCTGGTCGATCTTTTCGTAATACATGTCCACATCGCTGAAGATGAAGATGGCCTGCAGGGTTCGAACAATTTCCAATGTGATGTAGAGAGAGATGGGAACCAAGTTCTGGAAGAGAATGATAGCAGCCCAGAAGGTGATGAAACCACTCATAGCAGGATTTCCACCGATCGAGCCGAAATCGAAAAAGTAGAGTGAGGCATCCGTCTTTGCCCATGCGACGCCGTTGACGATAGCGGACAGGAGACACATGACGAGCAGGATACCAAAGTTGCAGACAACGTTAAAGTTCATCTCTCGGGCAATTCGTGCGCGCTTACTAGGGGTAATACCGGCATTCTGCATAATCTTGGTGTCGTGACCAGTGTAGACCACCACACCGAGAACCCATTCGGTGTTTCGGAGGTTGCAACCACGGAGAAGGAGATTGTCGATGGTGATGGGCTCCGTCATTTCCTCAGGCTCGTCGTCAGCATAGCCAGGAACGGTCTGCTGCCACTTGATAGCACCGTTGTACTTGTACAGGTTGGGTTGGGGAGCCTCGCTTTCGATAACGAATTCAGCGCGTTCACAGTCACGCGCGTGCTTGAGGGATCGGCCACAACGCACAGCCTGGCGGACCTTGAGGTTGGTCTCACCATCCAAGTTCTTGGTCTCGACATAGCAGGCTCCATCGGGGTCAGAGGTGGAGAGAATAATGATGTCGGCAGGAAGCTCCTCGTCATTGTAAATTCGCACAAAGTCGCCCACAACCAGACTCTTCCAGGCATCCTTTTGGAATCGAGCGCCAGCGGCGGGATGAGTGTAGTTGATGAAATCCGACTTCATCTGCGCGAGAGCCGCTGAACGCTTGGCATCCTGCTGGTCGGGAAGCTGAATCTGAACATGCGGGCCGGGCGATGGGGAGGGAACGGGGGTCATCTGAATATCCTCACGGGCAGACATGAAAGACTCGCGGTTCGTGAAAGGTGAAGCGATAGACCCGCGCACGGATCGTCTAGTACGATGCGATTCAACCGAGGGACGAGGGCCATCCTCCTGTGTTGGGCCCATCTTCCGCTTGGCCAACTCCTCCTTGGCCTTCTTGGACCACAGGC